GAGTTTTGGTGCATTTACCGCAAAAAAGAACTTTTTTTCTTTTTTTCTAACTGAACCAGCAGTATTGCCTTGCAGGAAGGAAATCTTACTGGGTTACCACTTCTGATAGACAACTACGTCCCACCATTGGAAGGACTGCCTATGTTTATCCTGCGCTTGGCCACAGAGGTATATCTCTCATGGATTTTATTAATTCACAATTAGTTTTTTTTTTACTTTAGGCAATTCCAGCCTGCCTTTTCAGTTTCTGGTGCAGCTTAAATGTACTGTTACATGTTCCAGATGCTGTTCTCTGGTTACTGATTAGTTATGCTTTGCCTTTCTATTCATAACTACTGACTGACTGAGCCTCTATTTTGATTTAAAAGCCTGCATTCCTACCCTCTTTTTTTCAACTAAAACCTTTTTCAACTATACCTTTACCTTACTAGGACAGAAATGGCCAACACATTAATATAAATTTTCCATATTAAGAATCTCTATATTATATAATTTTCCATATTAAGTCTCTGACTGATACCCAGATTCTATAAAATGACTTTTTTTTAAATTGTAACAGGTAAACTGGGATGAAGAAAAGGAGTGTTTTGAAAGCCTGAGTAAAGAACTAGCCATGTTCTACTCCATCAGAAAGCAGTATATAATAGAGGAATCCAACCCAACAAATTCTCAGGTACTAGAACACTGTAACTAGTTCTGTGGGCAGAAAGCTAACAACATACAGGAAACTTCTGCTCTTTCAGATGTAGACTTCTAATCCCAGCTCTTTCAGCAAACTGAATCAAGTAGCAGTGTGGCAAGATTCTGAAAGAATGTGGCTTAAATTTTCTGAAGTATTATAGGTGTTGAGGGAACCTTTTAACTTTGGGCATTGCAGTGTACTTAATATTATTACAAGCCTCCTTGGCCTCTGAGTTGGGAATGTATTTTCTATGCTGTATTTCTATAGAAGTATAAGGATGCATATAAATTACAAGTACAACCTGATTGTGTCTAAATATCTGCCTAATTGATCAGTTAAGCTCACCCATTCTGCAAGTGACTTTACAGAGCTTAGAACTGACTGTATAGAATGAGCTTTTCTAATACCAGCAGAATTTTACAATTGCCGTAGTCTTACATAGTAAAGGTTTTAGGCATGCTCTTCTCTAGTTAAACAGAACCTCTGTTTGTCCTTGTTTTCCTGTGTTTTAGAGTGAAGAATCTGAGTCTGGTTCAACAACATGGAAGTGGACTGTGGAACATGTGCTTTACAAAGCTTTTAGGACTCATCTTTTACCTCCAAAACACTTTGCAGAAGATGGCAACATTTTGCAGCTTGCTAACCTGCCTGACTTGTATAAAGTTTTTGAAAGATGTTGAGAAAGTAGTTATTAAAGACTGTTTTTATAGATAGACACCATTCATGTTACCTTTACTTTCACTTAGTAGAAGATAAAGCTGGAATCTTGATGGAGGAAAGAAAGAAGGGATTTAGCACCCTACTAAACTGCTAACATGTCAGTAAATCATCTATTTTTCTTCTGTTGATCAAAGTATAAAAAAAATTTTGCTGTGTCTAAACCCAATGAAAATCCCTAAAATAAAATCTCCATTTAAACTCTGAGTTTTCCTATTAACCAATCTACTAACAGAATACACTTCTGCTGTAGAAAATATACTGGGTTAAGTGATTGTGGAAGAAGATGGAGTTTAATTTAGTTAAAATGTGAATGCTTTAACTTTGCTTGCCTCTGGAAATCAAACTAGGTTACCTGCATTCCTTTGTTTTAAGCATGAGGGTTGTCTGACAGTACCTGCAATATGTGTGTACATGCAAAGCACTTAAAATCATCTGTTACTGCAGGAGTTAGTCTTGCAGTATTCCAGGGCCCTTGCAGAAATAAGGCAAATCCCTTTTAATCAAGGAGTCAGAGAATAGAAATGGGAGTGTTCTGGCAGGTAGTAAATGAGCATGCACAGATAATATTCATTGTCTCCAATTTAAAGAGTAGGGCTTGGGAGATCTACTATTTTCAAGGCTATGTCCCAACAGGGAAAATATTTTTCTAAGTCCAAGAGGCATCTAGCATCCAAACCAGAAAGGAAAGCAAGCTTCATTTTTGCACTGTAAAGATTTCCGTTCCATTTGAAAGCAGCTGGTACAAGCAGAAGCATTAATCCTCTTGGATTGCTGAGGTCCCAAACCCTGCCTTACAATGAGAAATACTCATGAAGGGCAGCAGCTTGATATGAGTCCACAAAGACAGGTCCTCTCAGATGGGCATCTGCTGGCCTCAAGTAAAGTATTACATGGGGGCTCTGTAACTTCATTTATTTCAGGGGTGCCAAGTGCAGATGCTGAATTTCTCACCTGTGATGTGCCAGCTTCAAAAGAGTGGGAGATCTCAATAGTAGAAAACCACATAGTTCCAGAAAGCATTTACTTCCTTTTGCTCCCCTTCTTTGATGACAGTCCTGGCAATGGGATAACTACTGGAGAATCATGTCTTCCTGAGCCAGCCAGCTCAGCAAATGAAATCTAAAGTGAGCAACTGGCTTCAGCTGGCCTCAGCCCACATACTACTTCTGGCAATGAGGGGGCATGGAAACTGTGGAAAATACAGGAACTACTAATGGAAATTGCATTTGTCTTGTAATTCCATTTTATCTTGCCCTTGCTATTGTGCTTGTCTTGTGATTTCAGCATGCTGTTGTATCACTTCACATGTAATGCCCAATATATCAAGTAGATTTGGTATTGAATATGAAAAGCTCCCTCTGTGGAACATCCAAAAGAACCTGGACTCTGACATGTACATGTGAGAAATGTCTCTAGATCACCACAGGCATGCTTACCTTATATGTCAAGTGTGGCAGCAGTCTGGTGTGTACTCATGCCATGTAACAAATGCCAGCTCCTCATCACACTGCTGTGTGGGTTCCTGAACCTCCACAAAACTAAAAACCCACCAAAATCGTAAGTATTTTCTGAGTTATGCTTATTTTTTTCTGGTTTTGGTGTTTTTTCTTCGTTTGGTATTTAACAGAAACCTGATTACATAGTGCCAAGTTTCTTTCACAAAATGAAAAATACTCATAATAAAGCTCAAATAGGTTTTTTTTTTTCCTTCTAACAATCTATATATATTTCAGAGCTTTAAGCAATCTGATACAGCTTAACTGACTTCCTTTGCATAAAAAATGCAGGAAGTCTTTCTTGCAAAGTATATTTTGAAGTTAAGATTGCAATAAACCATCAATCAAAACATTCCTGTCACAGATACATGACAAGCAGGTAATAATATTATATTACTTCAGTTAATTTCTTGGGTTATTTTTCCTTTAAAATCCTCAATTCAAACCTGCTTATTGAAACAAAACTTCTTAAATCTCATTTTCAAGCCCAACAAAAAGAAAACCAAACACATTACAAAGAGAACAAAGCCACATTGCTGTCACAGTCATGCCAAGCAATTCAGCCCATTACCACGGGCCTTCACATGAACAATCGCCTCACCTGTATTAGAATCAAAAGCAAACACCTTTTTTAAGGAAAGACTGGTGGAAAGTTCTGGAGATGTAGCTGGGGCTACCCAAGGAGAGCAAACATTCCCAGGGAGGGCAGGATTGAACACTAGTTTTTGTGTCAACTTTGCAGGATTTACAGGTAGGTTTGAGAGGAGTGGGCAAAATTATTCCAGACTGTTTTAACTCCTTTCTATACTATAACATGCATTTTAGATTTACAGGAGATGCAGCTTCTCATGGCAGCAACCAGAATTGTTTGGAGATGCACCAAAGGGAGTAACTTCCTTGGCAAACAACCCATGTATGAAAACATGGCATCTCAGTTAACTCACTGTGCAGAGCATCCAAGCCATACACTCAGGAAGAAGGGTGCTTATTTAGGAGAGGCTTGCAAAATCTTTACCTGACATCTGCCAAATATAACTATTCATGTCTGATGTAACAAAATACCCCCACCCCAAGGATTTTCTGTCACCAGTGCATATGGCTTGTTCTGTTGTGCAGTTTTTTTATTAATTCCCTTTTTTTCCAAGTACTGAACTGCAAGAGGAAGCAGGCATTGAGATTAGGTTGAATTTCTCATTGCAGAATGAAGATGTTCAAGTAAAGTCATGGATTATGCACCTAGATTAAGTTCATAGGTTTAATGGAACCTTTGACCTCCTATCCCACATGTGTTTTTCTCACTGAATTTAATCACAGAATCGTTAGGGTTGGATTGGCCATCTGGAGATCATCTGGTCCAACCCCCCTGCCAAGGCAGTGTCATCTAGAGAAGGTGACACAGGAACGCGTCCAGGTAGGGTTGGAATGTCTCCAGGCAGAGAGAGAGACTCCATGAACTCCCCGGGCAGCTGTTCAGTGCTCTGCCACCCTCAATACAAAGAAGTTCTTCCTCCTGTTGAGGTGACACTTCTGGTGTTTTAGGCTACAGTCATTGCTCTTTGTCCTGTTGCTGGGCACCACCAAAAAGAGTCTGGCATCATCCTCTTGGCACCTGCCCGAGAGATATTTACCTGCATTAATGTGATTCCCTCTCAGTCTTCCCTAGACTCAACAGGCCAAGTTCCTGCAGTCTCTCCTCATTAGAGATACTCCAGATCCTTTGTTAGGGACATTCCAACATTGTAAAATGACAGGGCTTGAATTTCTTGTAATAGTTTATTCTTACTTGCATCCTCTGAAACAGATCTTGGCTATTCTGAAGCAATGTAAAGGATAAACTTGGTTCTGGCTTATATTTTCATTCAGCAATTACAGAAGAGAACTTTAGGAAGAGCATACTGAAGCCAATGCAACAAAGAAGTGATGTGCCACTACCACTAACATGGCCTCCCTACAGGCCATGGAGGGAGTACCAAAGAGTACTATAACACATTCTGCACAAAATCTATGCAAACTGGAGTCCTTATTACCCCACATATACAGAAGTGGTAAATGTAGATTTTTCCAATGACAAAGCAATGAAATATTGTAATGCATTAATCATATTTTAACGTTTTTATTTTAGAAAGTGAACATATCCATTAAAAAAAAAGAAAATGCATGGAGTTAAAAAAAAGTAAACATAAACTAATGACAAACAGCAATAACATAAAATAATTTTATCTAGTGAGACCCAACAATTATTAAATATACTTCCACCACAGAGAAGTTTTACTTCATTATATTACCAGTCTCTTGATTAGGTACACAAGACAACACTTTCCAGTAATTACCTAGTCGTTAGAAGATCAACTTCAGGAATCACTGAATAATAAAATACATTGTGGACAAATACTTTCATACCACCTGGGAGGCAACCTAATATACATATGTCAACAAGGTACATCTTCATGAGGTATTACAGTACATGGGAACAGTTCCCTTTACTTTCTAACAAGTAAACTCTCCTGTCAGCAGCTCTGCCAGCAAGTCAGCCACAGACTCTGTTGCCAGTTTCCAAACCCCAGCAACTTCCTGCAGAAATTTTCTTTCTGCAACAGATCACACAAGTCAGGATGAATGAAGATGGGAGTAAAGAAAACAGATACTGTAAACAGGTAGGCTGAAAAGAAAAGGTCATCCACTCTTCCAGATGAGCACTAGAAGGCTTCATATCAGAAGTTTCAGCTTCTCAAGAACATTTAATTCCTCCCCCAGCTTAAGCTTTGCTGTGAGTGGTGAAGTGAAAGCATGGGGCACAATAATTCCAGAAGTAAATTAAGTCATTTCCAAAATAAGGAAGTAATCTCATATTTAAACAAAGTACACTACAAAAATGTTAAGATGAGGCTGCCAGAGTGTAACTCATTTGTACCATTAAACAGGAGGGGAAATAGCAAATCAGGTTTGCCCATGAAATCTTCAGGCATACCTGTCCTAGATTTAAATCAAAGAAAATCTCTTCCCAGCATTCTGGTGCTTTCATCTCCAAAGAAGTCTATCTCTTTGCTGCCAAAGAAGGAGCTTTTACACATCTGGTCCACTACTGTCCTTTCCAGGAGAGCCAAAAAATAAATGCAAAGGTGCCTGACTCTAGGCTCTCAAGAGCTTTGTAGGACTTCCTTCTTGGAGGCTGCTATTAGAGATAAACTGAGCTCAAAAATTATGAATTCTTCAGAGTTAACACACCATTTAACTTGTTTGGAAAGGAACTAGGAAGAAAAAGCATATCTTTAGCAATATTCAGGTTCTATGCAAAGGAACTTACCTGCTTTTTCTTATTTGCTATACAATTGGTTTTTCGCTGTCTTGTTTTTCTTCAGAGTCTTCATCAGAACCTGAAAAGAAAGACAAGAATGCTGTAAGGTCAGTTGAAAGAAGTTAAAAGACACAGAAGTGTTAAGCTATTTTTTTTTTTTGACAAATTAGTCTGAATGTCTTTCATTTCTTGGAATAGCACATTAGCTGCGTTTTGAAGCTCAAATTGTACAGAAACTGAATAAATTTACTCTTTCCAGGCTGATTTTCCACTTGCAACCTCCACAATAGACTTGGTCAAGAAGTAACCAATGTCAAAGATGAAGGGGCACCCCATATAAAGAAGGGTCACCCCATATAAAGGGACATGTGTAGCTTTAAAAAAGACAAAAAGAGACAAATATGCTGCAAATTCCAATAGAGCTCATTTTATATGTCACCTCCTAAAAGCAAGGATGTATTTTAAAAAATGTTGCCATATCAGAAAGGTATATCATAGCAGAGAAGTTTATTCCCTGCTGCACAATCACAGGAGATAGTTTATCTCTAAGTATTTGTCAATTCAATCTGTACGGCAATGTGACCAAAAATATCTCTCTTAGAACAATCAATAGTTTGTCTTCTCAGAAAGAAATGCACATTTTTGAAGAAAAATTTTAATTATGAGCTATTTTTACTCTACATTATCCAGCAATTCCACTTTGTGACTACCAGTGTGTGCTAGTTCAAGTATATTACTCTGACTGTTTCTTTTGCATCTCATACCCATAAAGGGTGCTTAAAATATACTTGGTAGTCAGGGCAGACCTGCAGAAAGCACCTGAGCTGTCACTGAATCCCATTAGACAAGCTGGAAGTAATGGCACACCTACAGTCAATACACGTGTGCTGAGACACACCACCTCACTGCACAAGCAACACGGACCCAGCCACAATGTCTAGAAAAATAGTTAGCTTCACTTACACTTTCTCTCACACTGTGTATTCTGTTGCTAAAAAAAAACAAACCACAAAACCCAGGCTGAACAGCTGAGTCCAGTACAATACTTCCATTATTCCTCAAAGCAGACCCATAGTTTTAGCTAAAATCCCTTTTCACTTTGAATCACTGGTTATACTCGACACTAATGCTCAGTGACCCCTAGATGGAGCTCGAAGTCATCCACTAAGCCAAAATGCTCAGCAGAGAGAAACCAGAGACAGACATTAAAATGAAAAATATCACCAACATGTAAAACTCTATACTGCAAGAGAGGCAAACTTACCTGTAGCAACTAGCAAATATTATTTTAATTATGTTGCATTATACAGCACAGCTTTGCAGAGGAGGTTTACATTTTAGGGGCAAAAGACAGGAGTTGGGGGTCCCCACTGCATTCTCAGGTAACTCAAATTGATTTGATCCATTAAGAAGTTACTTTTCTCCTTGAAATGCTTGAGACACATTCTTGAATCTTGCAGTATTTATATTTATTTTTGATTTAATCAATTCATATCTCAACTAGACAAAGCAAATGATATGCAGAGTTACTCACTGATCTACCCAGACAGGTGAACCTTTTTACAGAGAGAAGGCTTTTTCTTTTTGCTATGAGAAAAGAAAAGAAGCTCTGATTGAAATTTCAGTTTGCCTTATAGCAGTTTCAGGTTCATTGTCTATCCTTAGACAGTATACAGCTCCAAATTTAGGCTGGATTAAATTGTGCATTGCTGCATAGATGGTATTGCTGGCAGGTAAGATACCACAGAGTCACAGAACAACTCAGGTTGGAAGGGATGCAAAAGGATCACTGATGGCAGAAGCAAACCATAACTGCTTCCTTTCAGTTGTGGTGCCATTTTATTTCAGACTTACCTTGCTTTTAGTCAGAACATGACTTAAAATACACTAATCACATGTATTGTAACTCATCTGGTAGACAGTAACTAAACTGAACAAAAAAGAATCTTGCATTTTAGAATGATAAATACAGTTTTCATTTAAAAACAAAAATATATTTTTCCCCTTCCCCTCTTGAAGGGCATGAAATATGCAGGAGTGTAAAGTGAATATGAAAAATCTGTCACTAAGTCAATGTAACTACCTGCTACAGACTCAGGGGGAGAATAGAACTGCCCATCAGAGAGGACTCCTGGGTGAAGAAGAGCTGCTCGTTCTGAAGCATCCTGTGCTATCAAAAATCCTAAAAGAAAAAAAATAGCAGAAAATAATTCCTCAATGCCAACACATAAAATCGTAAAGACCAAATACTGATGAAGAATCTTGAAGACTGATGTATTATATTAACACTCCTAACTAGTTACTTCTTTAAATAAATATCTTTTTAAAAAGCATCAACAATTAATTTAGCACTTATGTTTTCTATTTTAACGCTGGCAGCTAAGGTGACACACACTAGCAAAACGGAGATATTGCATGAATTAAGGAATTTTTCCTTCTACTACGCGTGATTACATTATTAGGTTGCCATCTGTAAATTCATCAATATTCACTGGCTAACTAAAACTTCTGAAATATATTTTTAATGATCACTGAGGTGCCATGCAAAACCAAATAAATTATTTTCTCTCTTTGCCACTATGACCCTTCACTAATGGCTTGCTTTCACCTATCTGTCTCAACATATTCAGTTTCTGCAACCTTCATGAACTATTTACATGTGTATGTATGGAATATTTTGTGAATATTCAATATGAAAAAACACAAAAGTCTCCAAACTGGTTAGATTTCTTATCTTATTTAGATAACACTGTGATGCAGCTGTGTTTCCTCATCCCCTTTTAAGATAAAAAAAGTTACTCTAAGTTTCTTTTTCTCCAGGTAAACCCCACTGTTCTCATTCAACCAGCTTCTTTCTCAGAACAGTGAAAAAGAAGAGGGAAGGGATCAAAGTAGAAAGACTGCATTCAGAGCACATAAAAATGGAGGCATCCATGCCCACATACAGTTTTTTGATTTACCTAACAGATAAACATGCCTTTCCAACAGAGTTTCAGACTGTATTTCAGGTAATGATGCATGAATAACAGGTTGGCTGTATAATTACTCTTCTGCTATTGAAACTCACAAGCATGTGCAAGCTTTCTTTCCCTCACCACTCAAGCAGTATTCTCTTTCAACTGAAACAGTGGATTTCCTCCATTTAGTTGAATATATTGACTGTCAGATGACCTGGTGTCTCATCTCAAAGGTTGAAATTCATACATGTTCTGGTCTCATTCTGCCTGTCATGAAACAGACTCTCCACAACACGTCTTTGCTTTCCCCTTTCCACCTCAAAAGAAGAGTTAGTGACATTGAATTAGTTATTGTGTCTACTCTTCCTAAAAGAGGAGCCAGACACTTTATGCATTATGCAGAAAATAAAGTTTTACAAGCCCAACTTAGTTAAATTTTCATACCTCAAGCATACAAAATTAAACACATTCCCAAGTGCCTGACAAACTGCTCATCTGGCCCTTCTGACTTTTAACTTTAAATTAATTAACACATCACTTCTTTGAAGGCATATGTTCCCTTTCCCAAAGAGGAAAACATCATGCCATTTGATTTAATTTTTTCTACAGCTCTTCAAATTTTGAGAAGCTGAAAGAAGCATTCTTCTGCCAGTTAACATGGGATCAAGTGTTGCCAACTGCAGTGATTGAAGGGAAATAACACAAGCTTACTATTTTCTTCTTCAGCTTCTTGTGGTAACACTTTAAAGTCCAGGAACCAAGTTTCAATCCAGGCCAGTATGAATGATATGATGGGCAGCACATAGCCAAAAGCACCCTGTGAGAACAGCTAGAAAGAAAGAAAATGTTACAAATATTACTCTAAAGAATCTTGCTTTTAAGAAAACAAAGTAAAACAAACATTTGATTAGAATATATACCTGTGAAATAATTACTTTTGCTAATAAAAAGGCACTGGTCACTGCTGTTGTAAACTGAAAGAGACAGAACAGATAAACTAATGAATGGATTTAGCTTGTTTCTGCAATTATCTACTAGTTGCAACTTTAAATATTTACTGACAACAGCAAGATCACATAGATTAATAAAATGTAACAAGCATGATACCATTAACTTAAAGTGTTATTAAAATAACCTTATAAAAGATAACTTTTAATACAAAAATACCTCCAAATATTGATTTCCACATAGCATTTTGTAGAATCTAAACTGCCTAAGTTATGTAAATTGTGATCTTACTGTATAATGAAGATAGTGTAGATTATTCATCAGGTCCCTTAAAAAAACCCCAACTATTTGTGTATTTGGGAAAAAAGCAAACAGCAGTTGTTCCAAATGCTTTTCACTACCTTCCAAATCAAAATATCCATTTCAAACAACAAAATATCTCTGTGGGAATAAATTGTAATAAATATTTTAATTCATGAAGTGGTATTTTGAAAAAAAAATTTTTTTGAAGACTTGATACTTGATATACTTTAAAAAATCAGCATGCTGGATAAAATATCTCAAAAACTCCCAAAATCTGAAAAAGCAGTGAACAAGTACTGTTAACATAAGCAAGGCCTCTGTATCTTCTAGTGCATTTGGGTCCAGCAATCGTTTAAAAAACAACAGAACCAACTTCTGTCAATCACGGGTAGGATGTTAAGATTCAAGGCTTTGGCAAAACCTTCAGTGAAGCTTTAATGTATCTAATTACTTGCTATGTGAACCATGATGGGTTCACTCTCACCACCTCACAAAGTCGTCAAGTTGGAGGATTAAGAAATTCTCTAAAGCTACACAACTACGAGCAAGAAGAGGCATGCATTTGAATATAAGCACAATCAGAGCAGTGGCTGCCACTATGTATGTGTTTGTGCCATGCTAGTAACACAAGCTATAAAAATCATGGCATGTAGTCTCAGAGCACTAAGCAAACTGCATGCTACTCACTTGAAGAAAGTTATACATGAACATGTTCTACATGCACCTACCACAGTGTAAGGAAAAAAAAAAGTCTGATTTACAAAGCAGTAAGCCAGCAATACACCTATTGTATTACAACCTATAGTATTGACTGGTGGAAGCATGAACTTTTTCACCAAATTTTGCATTCTTTGTCATCCACACCATACAGCTGCATTAAAGATATTGGCTCCGATCCACTGTGGTTGCCTACAGTTCTTGAGAACTTCCTTTTTTGAGAAGGGATGCATATTCAACCCTTTGTATTGGAGCATGAAGCAATACAGGTGCTAGTGTTCAACAGGTGGCACCTAAAACTTTTTAAAATAAGAATGTGTGACTTAATGAACACCTGGATCTCTGGCACACTAATGCCAATTCTTGTTTTTGAAGAAGGTTCACTATTACAAATGCAAATATATTCCCAACATTGATTAACAAGTCTCAGAGGTAACAAGCAGTTATGACTAGCCATCCATACTGGATTAAAAACAAACCTTCAATTTGTATTAACATGATACCTAATAAGAACGACATACACTGTGCTATTAAATTCTTGCCTTTAGGCTGAAAATCTTCCAGAAAACAAGTTTTTAATTTGTTATTGTACAACAAATTTTTATATATACACCATCAAGATGATTCTTAACATACAAGCGTTAAACAGCATCTAAAATTTTGTCTGCTTGACCCATTCCAGGAAAAACTCCATTATGCTTGGCCACTACTCACAGCTATTGCCCACCAATGGCGCAGTCTGCACATTGCATATGCGAGTATTAACACCTTAAACCGAAAGACTGCCAGTAGCTATAGAGAGAGGAAAAAATATTGGTTGGTTAATTCAGAACACAGAAGAACCACAATAGTCTCAACTCACCAAAATTACTAACTACTTACAAAGAAACTTAGGATAGTCTAAGTTCTGTTACCAAAAACCAAATTTGAATGTGTCTTTATAAAACAGAAATAGAAGGTAATTTCCCATTTGCAAAGCAAGTGGCAATGTCCACCTGCCTAGACAGGCTCAAATATGCAAGCATGTGCCATTCCACTAATAAGTTAGAAACATAAGAAAGCTACAAAAAGTGTCTTCATGATCACTTTACCTGACTGGAATCTAAACAGTTATGTTAATCCAGATTAACAGCTGGATGCAGTTAATCCAGCAAATACCTTGCATATCACTGTGCATCTCACTGATCTTAGCAGTGTGCTACTATACTTCTAGTATTTCATGAAATATTAACATTGCAGCAATCAATTATTCTTTATGTAACTGCCCACAATAGCAAGTCATTCTATTTGGCAGTAGAGAAAGGAAAGTTATGGTGTTTGCAGGCCAGAAAATTAAATCAATAGTAGACAGACAAGATCTTTGAATCAGGGACCCCGAGCTTAAATTTCCCTGTTTACTTTTTGACAGTAGATTTTCGATTCTGAACACACCTTTTAAAACAAATTGGAGAAAAAGTGTGAAACAAATGCTTAAAAATGAAGAGAAATCAAACACAGCCATGGCCAGGGTTATGATAAGCCCATTTAATCTTACTCAAATGTGTACTAGAAACAGAGGAAATCCTGTAAAAACCCACAAACAATTTTGCAAAATTTAAAGTTTTAGTCCCTTCCCAGGGAATAAAAGTCTATTATTTTGCATTACATGTTCTTAACCCTCGGTTCACCTACAGGATAAATAATTTCCAGAGCATCAATATTTACAGATAACATTTTTTGCCTTCTGCAGCATGGTATATCATGGAGACCCTGCCAGCAAAACAATGTAAAAGGGAGAAGGAGCATAGTTTGCTAGCTTATAAAATTTTTGAATTTAGTATGTAAGTTCATTTGACACAGCAAATGTCCAATGCAGAAGTAAGGATGGGTTTTTACACCAGTTTCAAGGAGAGATTCTGGATATGGTCATCAGTACAAAATGACTGATACCAAACCAAGTCATCTCTGCAAGGCAAAGAAGATCTGGTAGAATTAACAATCTGGCCCTTCAGAAGAACTGTAAAGAAAAAGCTTTTACTTGGGCTGTGCAGTGCAAAATGCATTGCAGCTACAGAGCTACAGCTTTGCTTAAATAAAGAAATTTCCTAATGCAATTGAGTTCCTCTTATGTGCCTAAGGTACTTACACATAGTAAGGGAGCAAAAACCTGCCCTGTGCAGGCCCACCAGGCCTGGGCACAAATCTCTCTTCATTGCGGCCACCTTATGCCCAACGGGGCAACAACGTTGGTTTAAGCAAAATTATTTTAGAGTGGAGGGCTATGGGTCTTGCCCTCTTAATGAATTACCTTATGTCACATCAAAGTCACATTCTTGACTGGGTTTTCCATCTGCTTTTCCACACACCCCAAAGCTAAAGATGCAAATAAATCGGCCCTAAACATTTCTATCCACAGGCTCCGTGAGCCTGCTGCCACAGCAGGACTGGGCAACCTCTAGATGGGTGAAACTTGGCCCTTCTGGTTTAAATTATCAAGAAAAGATCAACCCTTTCACAAGACTCAAACTAGGAAACATCTGTGGAAGGAAGAATGGGAAAACTATACTTTTGCTGCTCCTTTTTCTTTTTTTAAGAACACTTACAAATATATCAAAATATGAAGAAGAGTAGTCATAATGTAGGACTTCTTTCTCTAAGGTAGTCTCAATGCCTCCTTTTACCTACAAAGGAATGACAACACACACAGCTTCAGAAAACAAAATACACACAAACATGAAGAGTAAAACTAATAATTCCCTGCTGATATACAAAAAGATCATTAAACTAAATACAGAAGAGCTGTCTGCCAAGAATGATATGGTCAAGACTACTGTTGTTTTTTGTTTTTCAAGATTACATAGACTTTTCAAAGTGAAAACATTTAGGATTATGATCTGGCCTAAGCAAGCAACATTTCAGGCTGTCCCAAAATAAAAGCAAACAAGTTATTGAGGGAGGAATAAATAACTAAATGTTAAGGACAGTTACACAAACTCACAAAATGTTTTACCTCTTACAAGGAGCATCAAAACAGCTGATCAAAAAGCCAACCATAACCCAGTTCTAGTTAGTCACATGTTAGCAAATAGCAAGCAGAACAGAAACTGAATTCATACTTCAGATCTCTTCCTTATCAGCCCTCACACAATTTGTTAAGAGAGCTGAGCCAAAAGATCCACAGTAAAAAAAAGCAGAAGCTGCAACTATTGGAATAATCTCACAGAAATAACTAACATTCAAGTTTAATTCTTCCATCTGCTGATGAGATTCAAAATTACATCTTCCTTAGCCACCATGTTTCTTTCCAGTGGAAGGATTCTACTGTTAAACTGGCTTTGTAAGAAAATAAGGTGTATTGGCTCAGAGGATGAGAAGGAGTATCTATCTTAGTTGAAAATGAAAAAAATGTCCATCTCCTATTGTTTTTAATATGAAATTCTGTAATTAAGCACTACATGAAATAGTTATGTAGAACACCAACAGAAGGCTTTGAGTTTGACTACTGTCATCTTTTTAAGGAAAGGAGTTACCAAAGCACACCAACAACATATGCTCACTATTTCAAAGCAATGCAGTCTACATACTTCCACACTTTTCCAACTACATCGCTGGACAGTGTTTTCCTGAGACTAGTCACTCCAACTCTGAATTTCTTCTATTTCTTCTCCTCTCCCTCCCCTCTATGGCTACCTAACAAATAGCCACTTTCAAAACACAGTTTTCCCTTCGTTGCTCTACTGCATGAAGTGTGATTATCTGTTTCCAGCACAAATAAGGAAGATCAACTTCCCCCACTCCAAGCTGTTCATCACTATGTGGCTGTGTGAGCACCATGTTAAAATAAGGATAAACAGAGAACTATGGAAGCCTTGATTTTTGCTCAAAATGTCATGGAGCTACATTTATTTAACAATAAGCTACACTACACCTAAGGAAACTGGATAACAGCAACAAAGTGAAAACAATGTTTACAGGAAGTCTCACAGCAATTCTGACCCACTACTTATGCACCAATAACATACAGTCTTAACACAATGCTATTTGACTTCTCAGCAAACAAAGCAATTCAAAGAAAAACAAAATAAAAAACCTAAGCACATGTCAGATCCCAGATATCAAATTTTAGCTTCTAATATCATTAACTTCTCTGACAAAAACCTGGTTTTTATTCTTTCTGACATGTGGCAGTATAGGACACCGGGTCATAGTATGTGGTCCTGAAAATACAGCTTTCTACAAAGAAAACTTCTGTGATCTTGAGGTCCCTTGATACTGTGGCATTCAAAATGAAACACCATTATATCATGAGTTGGTAGCATTTTCTATTCAGTCTTTAATATTCTGAGAGCACTCATGAAAATCTATACTCTGAAACCTCAACAAGAGATATAAACCCACTCTGTTCCTCTTAGTCCTACAAGCTGTTGAGAAACTGGCCTAAAAAAAGAACTGCATCAGAACACTATGCTACAACCATTTTTCCACCTACAGAGAAAACAGAGAGTCTAGTCCCAAAATTACATTATTTAGGCAAGCAAAATCTGCTCTCTCAAATTAAATCAGAACAAGTATTTTTCACTGTATCAATGAACAGTCAGCTCCTGAAGCTTCATAATGTAAATTAATAACCAAGGCTATTCATCTAGTAAAGAAATGTTGATAAAAATATTTACTCCAGATCTTTCTTTCTAGAAAAAGGATTGCTCCCTAGTGTGTCCTTTCTTAAATGCAAACTAGATTACAGTTTAAAACCCAGCTCAATAACTAGGATGCTACTTACGAAATAACAACAAATGAGCTATCCTGTTGCATTCTGGAAATGTTAGAACAGCCTCATTTCCCAGATTACAAATGCTGGAGTTAAAAGGTGGCAACTGGGAGTTCATGTTGCTTAAATGCACTCTGCCATCCACAATGTATCACACACCAAGTTTACGTCAAAGAAAACACAACAAAAGAAAAGTTTTGGCCATTAGAAATATTTTCAGGGACTAACGCCTCAATGAAATATCACTGACTTGAAGTTACTCAGAAGGCAGAGTCTTGAATCTGGTTAAAATTCACACTTGCTAAATTCAAAGACGTACAGTAACATTTTTGGTTTTGATGCTGGAAGACTACACTGGATTTCCAATGTTTTTTTTCAGCATGGTTGACAGACTAGAGGAACATCTAAAGGTTTCATAATAAGAAGATTAACACATATGTTAACAAATAAAAGTAGATGCAGCTGAGTAGGTACTGTGTTCATGGAAGCTTAAATAAGCTGCTTAAACTTAAACAGATACAAATAACATAATTTTGGATAGAAAGGAGCAACTTATAAACCACCTCTGAAGTGAATAAAACCTTAATATACCGTCTAAAGGTAGGTACTGAAAGGACAACTCACATTTAATTCTATTATCCACAGTAAGGTTATGAATAAGAGATCAAATGTAACAAACAAACAGAAAGTCCTTCTGACATCTGATATGCCTTTCTTCTCCCTGCCTTCATATGACTCAATCCTTGCCATCAGCTGCGTTGGGTTGATGGAGGGGACATCCCGCAAGGAAGGGCAAGATTCCACACTGCTGCTGTGAGCATTTTCTGCATCAGCTGGGACCCGAATCATCCTGTGTTTGCTTAGAGTGCTCTTCTCCCAGATTCACCATCACTAGAAGGCTGATCCATACAGGAAGGATTTCTAAACAAACAAACAAAACCAAACCACATTAGTCAACAAACCCCCATAATTCCAAGAGGTATTTTTATCTTGCAATATCAGTTCTCTTTTTGTTAAACTGATGACTAAGAGAATTAGGCAAGTAGGCCCTGGAAATTGTTTCTAATACAGTATCAAGCGCCTCTTCATCTCTCAGAGGATTTGTGAAGCAAGAGAATTAATGTTCAATTAGGCCGTACAAAATAAGAGAGCACTGTCTAGATTTAAAGGGTCATTTCTCCATGCTGTTAGAGTGAGATCATTGAATAGAATGAATAAAAAGCATGATGCTATGCATCCTTTAAGATTTTCAATACTGACTTAAATGGTCTCAATAAATACGAAGACAACTTAAAGGAATTTCCACATACAATTCCTTACAAATAGCAGTGTTAGTTAATAGCACATCCAGAGCTGACACAAACAAAAGATGAAAAGTCCATTAAAATCCCTGAATAGTGTAGTAATCATTCTATAAAGCATATACACTGCTGTTTGCTCTGTAAATTCAGCTGCTATAGCAACTAACATTTCCAGACAGTTTCTCCATGAAAAAAGTGTGTGTAACTAGTGCTTAAAGGTAATGGAATTACCCTAAGTCTCTTCTGACTACAAGGCTTTTGAAAGAATTTTCAGACTGAATTTCCTACAAATCTGGAGCAGTTTGATGTATGATTCACTTAAATCCTCCATGAGAACATTTGTCCAATCAAGACTTCTAGAAAGGGTGGACTCAGAAGGTCACAAAAGTTTCATGGAAACACAGAGAAAATTTAATTTTATGCAAAATGCTCAGATGATTAAGCCATCCTGCAGTACAAACCACATCAGACAACTTTTTGTAACACTGAGGAAATAGCTTTTTGAAATTCAAGAACAAAACTTTGCCTCCTCCTGGGTGGATTATCTTTCAGTAAATGGCAAGAGATAGAGAAATTCTTCCCACTCCTGTCTTTCAACAGCGTTTCAACTCCAAAGCTGCAAGAACACAGTCAGTCAAAGCTCAACAGGGCATCTGTAACACACCACTAAGCAAACACAAGGGAAGATACAAGCACACAGAGGAACAGTAAAGGTGGTGTGGGGAGCTGCCAGAGCACACACATCACAGCTGAGGAAGACAAAGGCCAGCCAGGGAGGGTCAATGTCTAGGTCAAGTCACACAGAACCACCTCTAGGGAATTCAAAGCACCGGGCAAGGGTGGACCAGCACAATGCACCTTTCTATCTTCCTCCTTTGTTTCCACAGCAGCTGCCTGAAACATGGCTGGCAAAGGGCTGTAGAGGAGGGAGACATAAGTGGTGTCCCATCACAAGGCTGCAAAGGAAAGGAAACATAATAAAATCTTGTGACTGCTTACAGCCTCAGCACAGATGACTGTCATTGGTCATCAAGTAAAAAACAATTTCTCATGCTGGGTAAACAATTCTCCAAATCGCATTCCAAAGCAGCAAAACATGGAGAAGCTGAAGCTTCCCAGCTTCTCAGGAGAAAAGATCCTGGCAAAAGGATTTTTCACAAAATATGTCTGTGACATCAGTCATTTCATCACACCAGCATTCTCAGATGGTTTCAGGTGGGTGCACAAAAAAATGTTAAATTCTTCTTGGCAGCTGTCTTACAGGCACGTGAGGACTATCATAAATCAGCACTTCCCTTTTAATGTTCGATGGTGACTTGGCCAGACACCTTCCTTCCCATCTCAGCACTACCAGCAACAACATTTCTCCTCCCTTGCACTTCCAAAGCACCAATCATGCCCCATCTCTCTCACCCTCACAAGTTTGCAGTGGGAGTGAGCTCTGCTTTTCCCTTGGCTCCATTTCTCCAGGGGTTCTTGCTTGTGCAAAACAGCCTGTGCTTGGAAGAGTTCCAGGCTTGCAGCCCCATGAGGAGCTGCTACTTGTCAGCACTTCATGTGGGCAACACAAGCACCAAGCAGGCACAGGAGTGCTTTTCATGCATCCCTGGCCAAGAAACTCAGTGGTGGAACAAGTTTAGGAAGGAAAAAAGGTGTGTTTGTCATTGAGATGTGTCACGCTTCTGAAAAAACCACACAATTCTTTTGCACGTGACTGTTACTGATCCTTATTCTTGCTATTCAGGAAGCAGGCACTGCTTGGCCTGAATTCATGCTGCCGCATTACTTGAGTTTTTGCATCCAAAGTGATACAAGACATTGTTATTGTTCTATCGGCATGGTTATTGTGCTTTTTAAAAACCAAAATAATTTAAAAACAGAGAAAAAATAATTATAAACTGGGTGTGAGGATGTCTGGGGTTTCGGTTTTTGAAAGCCAAAATGCAAATTCAGCCAGAAAAAAATTTATTATCAAATAAAAAGTGAAAATCACATTCTTAAAACTTCTGAGTTCTTTTTTCCTAGAAAGAGTCTTTGCGCATCAGTCAGTTATCAACTTTCCTGTTTCTGGTAAAGGTCAGTATTTCAGATCATTTTTAGGGTGTTTTTACAACATCAGTAACATTTTCAAGACCGCTTGACATCTGTGGCTTGACCCAGTGTCTGGGTCTCTGACTTGAAGGAAACTGGGTTCACCTGGCACCACTTCTTTTGGCTCCAGGCAGTTCCATTGTTTGGGTTATTCTATATGGCAGGCTCCAGGAAGGATGTGTGGTCAAAACAAACACATCCTATGAAGAAGTGATGTTTAGAGACCAGCATGTTCATTTTCTGCAGAGCCTGGGTGCAAGACACTCATCAGGAAGATAAGCAGCCCATAATTCAGAATATTCCAAGAAAATCTATGGGCAAACTAGCCTGAAGAGGTGGAGATCATAGCAACTGTGTTGGATACAAATTGTGCCATTAACTCCTTGCCACACGAGACAGGTCAGTGAGACAGAAATCTGTTCTCCCCACAGAGTCCCATTAGCAAATGGCTCTCCAGAAAATGCAGGGGATTTGCAATGTTCTGTAGTTGTCTGACTTTCCTTTGCCAGAATTCAAGTGATGGTTTTCAAGCTAAACTGGAGATTGCATTAACCTGCTCCTGGCTACACCTGAACATTGTAATAATGCTTGTGAACATCTGTTCTGAAAGAGTCAGAAAATAAAATCCTGTTTCCAGTATATCTCTTGTGTTACATGTTTTTGAAAGTGTTTTCAAAGCTAAAAAATCCCTGGCATTTCAGGCAAATAACAGTCTGGTTGTTATTTGACTCATCATGAATGCAGAATAGAATATTCAGTTGAAAGGGACAGAAAACAGTCACCTTAACCATCTGGCTGACCACTTCAGGGCTGACCAAAAGTTTAAGTATGGCATTAGGGGCAATGCCCAAATGCCTCTTAAACACTGTCCGGCTTGGAGCATCAACCCCTTCTCAAAGAAAACTGTTCCATGGTTCAACAACACTCTTGGTAAAGAAACGTTTCCTCCTGTCAAGTCTGAACCTCCCCTGATGGATGCAGCTTTCAGCCATCCCCCATGCCCTGCTACTGGGTACTACTGAGAAGAGATCAGGAACTTCCCTCTCCACTTCACCGCCTCAGAAAGCTGCGAAGAACAGTGTGGTCACCCCTCAGCCTCCTTCTCTCCAAACTAGATTAACCCTGTGTCTTCACCTGCTTCTCACAGGGCATTACTTCTAGCTCTTCAACCCGTTTTAATGTCCTGTCCTCCTTTTGCACACATTTAAGGACCTTCACATCCCTTTTAAATTTTGCGGCTCAGAAATGCACAAAGTACTCAAAATGAAGTTGCAGCAGTGCTAAATAGAGTGGGATGATCACTCCTTTTGACCAGCTGGTTGTGCTCTATTTGAAGGTTTGCCACTACTGACTTTGAGCCTGCTGTCTGTCAGCCAGCATCCCCAGATCATTTCTATGGTGCTGCTCCCCAGCCACTCTTGAAATTTGTGCTTGTGGAAGGTATGTTCTATCCCAGGTGCAGTCTGGCATTTGTTCTTGTTCAGTTTCATGCTGCTGCTGCTTATTCAGCACTCCAATCCATCCACATCCCTCTGCAAGACCTCTTGTCCCTTGAGAGTGTCAACAGCACCTCCCACTTTAGCATCATCAGCAAACTTGCTGACAATGCACTTGACTCCAGATCACTGATAAAAAATTTGAACAGAACTGGCCTTGGGATCAAGCCCTGAGGAACAGCACTGGTGACTGGTCTCCAGCCAGGTGTAGCCCCACTCTGTACAACTCTTCGAGCCCTGCCTGTCAGCCAGCTCTTCCAGCAATCATCTACCTGCTCACTTCACAGTCAGACTTGTCCAGAAGGACGCTGGGAGGCACAGTATCAAACACCTTAATGAAACCCAGGAAAACTATATTCACCACCCTTCCTTCATCTACTAGGCAGCTGAAATTACAGAATCTACAAGCTTACTGAAGTTTAAAAACATTTAAGAGGGAAATAAAACTTCTGAAATAAGAATCCACATTAGTATATGTGATATGCCTTCTTCTTACTTCTCCTGATTTCAAAATTGTAAGACTTTAATGAGGCTTGCTTGTTTTCTTCATAACCGCATATATTCACTCAACTACCAGTAAAATATTTAGCTAAGTTAAGTTTTCTATGCTGACCTCTTCAAAGTCATAGACAACAGCAGCATATTTTTCCTGGAAAGAAAGCCTCCAAAGTTTGTATCTATTTCAATTAAAGGTGTGTTTTGCCTTTTTTTTTTTTAAACACTTAATCGTTATGTCCGTAACTCAGGCTTCCAAACAGAGAATTAAATTCTCAAACTTTCTAGTGAAATACAGATTTTATACTTATTAATAGTTTTAACTAGTATAATAAGTGAAAAGCAAAGGAATTAAAATTATCAAGCTTAGGACTGCAGTCCATCCCTGCCCTCAGTCTACTAAAGACTTTAGCAATACATGGTGAGAGCTTGCCCATGATTTCAAGCAACATTTACAATTAACATCATTATTTTCATTCATACTGACAGAAGCAGATGGCACACACTGCATGTATCAATTTTACACATATCTTAGAGA